TCTTTTAGGTAAAGTCTAGAGTGTAGGCAATAACAAATCTAATTTTATTTGCAAAATATTTCAAACCCTTGTTATACCTTTAACTTATGTAAGAAGTGCAAAAAAATTTCTTTTATTTTTTTTAGATATATAGTTGAATTAAATTTTCGCGAGTGTGAATGTATATTTCATATTTAACATATTAAAGTTTTAGTAGACTTCGAATATTTTAAGTTAGATTTTCACTATGCTTGAACGAGTATGTGAAATATTTTAGCAGTGACTAATTAGAACCAATAAAGGTATAGGTAAATAGCATACAATCTTTTAAACTTACCTTAGTTCGTCTCAATACGATTATCCTCCATTTATCAAGAAACTTATCCAAATAGAATTCTTAATAGAATTAAAGCTAATTTCAAGTTAGCACAAAGAAGATATTTTAAGCAAAATTAGAATTACACACAAAACGAAAAGGATTAAGAATTCTACATAGAATTCAAAGATAACAAAATTAAACATAAAACTCATTTAACTTAATTTTATTTTTTTCAGCGATTAGCACTTATGTAATTTTAAATATGTTAGTTTTAATTTAGTATTATTGATAGTATTAAGCACTGATTATATTATAATACTTATTTTCCTAATATTTTTTTTAATTTTATTTAATTTTTCTATAATTTTTTTTCAAAGCTTTTTATTTAAAGGATTAAACCCTTTCCTTAATTGTTAACTCAATCATTTTATAAAAAAATTAGCTTTAGAAAAATATATTTTTTTCATTCAAATTATTAAAATTTATTTATTAATTATTTTATAAATCTTTTTATTTTTTTAATAAAAATATTTTACTTTAAAAATTAGTATTTTTTTAGATTTAGATTACAATTTTAAGAAATAAAAATTAATTTCTCAATTTTTAATTAATTTTCAAATTCAAAATATTCTGTAATATCTTCTTTAGTTTTCATTTTTGTTTCCAATCGAAAAATCTAAAAAATCTTACCTTAATAAAATGTATACCTTTAGTATAAATAACCATTAATTTATTTTTCCAAGAAAGTTTGGTCATTTACATAACTTCTTAACCTATTCTCTTTCTCAAAAAAATGCTGAGTTCTTTGGAAAATAGAAATGATTTTTTCGTCAGTTTTGTAGTATTTTAAAGAGAAAAATAGAATTTTAAATTTTTTGAGTTTAAAAAAACCATCGTTCAATTTTTGGACAGAGGGGTCGAATTCAGTCGTTTTTAGCTTTTAAATCGGTGGAAAAGATTTCGTTTTCTTTGTTTCAGAAAGATGTAATGTAATAATTTGGATGAGTTTTTTTTCTTCTTAATTCATCTAAAAGCTTAAATTGAGGGCAAGAATTAGTGCTTGTAGATGGTTTGTTTCTTTCTCCAGTAATTCTACTCCAAAGACAGGTTCATTTTTTGGGTTGGAGTGGTGAAATTTAATAAATTAAATAACAATGTAAACAAAAATAACATGGTACATGAATTCTTTATTTATTTATACATGATTATTGATCATTTGTTCTTAAATGGAAAAATCATTTAAAAAATTTTTTTTGATTTTTTAAATATTTAATTTATTTTGACACTTTTTTTATTTAATTTTTTCATTAATTAAAAATTAGCAATGTTTTCATTTATTAAAAAAATTACCAAAGATTTCATTTTGGTAATTTTATAAACAATAAGAGAAATAATCTTTTGGTTTATTTAAACGAAAGTAATTTTTAATGTAAAAATAGAAATTAAAAATAACAAATTTTTAATCTTAATATTAAAATATAATTTTCTTTAAATAAAATAATAGATTTTTTACTTGATTTTCAAAGTTTACACCATAGTATTTTAAATACTTAAACATGAATCTCTCATTAATAATCTTAAAATTTTGATTTATTATTAAAGGTATAAATTAATTAGTTATTAAACAAGGAATATTTTAAAGAAACATTGTTCTATCAATTATTGAGAAGAAATACCAATATAATGTTCATAATTGTTAAGCTTAAAATAGAAGTATCTTCACTCAAACATGACATTTATAAAAAAATACAATCAAATTATATCGAAATGAGAAAATTGCTTAGTTAACCCTACAATATATATAAACACATGAAAAATGATTTTATGCCCTAGTTTTTATAAAAAGAACGATGAATAAACTTTACAAGTCAATATTCATAAATTTTTTAAAATACAAGTCCTTTGAGGAAACAGTAAATATTTTAGGTAATTATCATAAAAAATTATTTTTCTTTTCTAAAAGTTTCACCTAAAATATTTTTAAAGTGTTTATTCTACTAATTAAATTGTTTTACTAAAATTCATATTAATTTTACATTAATCCTTGTTTTTTTTATGTCATTAAAATTATTCTAATTATTTTTTATATAAAAAAATATTAAAATCTTTGCTTATGTTTTTTTAAAAGAAAGTATTCATTTAATAAAACACAAGAATAAACATTTAGAAAAAGGTAAGTTTATTAAATAAATCTAATATTATTGATTTTTTTGTTGCCTAAGGATAGAAAATATACCAAAAGAAATATTATCATAAATTTGATTAAAAATTAGTGTTCTTCCTTGTTATAGAACTTATATCCCTGGTAATAAGGAAACATGAAAACTCTTTAAATAACATTTTTCTTATATAAACGTTCTTTTTTCTTCTACTATAGGATAATAAATTTTTATATTTATATTTAGTAAATTAAATAATTAATTATTCGTAACAATAAAATTATATATTAAAATTTAAATCATTAACAAATATCAATTACTAATAAATATTTGTTTTGTTTTAATAGAGTGTTATATTTTTAAATTAATATACAATAAGTTAAGAAAATCATTCTTTTTTTTATTTTTTAATTTTTTTTTCATTTTAATTAAAAATTACTTAATTTTATCACCTAAAAATATTTAATTCATTACTTTTATAAAAAGTTTATTTATAAATTACTCTATAAAAAATTTTATAATTGTGTTTATTTAGAAATTTTATTAAGAAGAGTTCTTACTAAGAAATTATTAGATTTTTTTTAATCTAATCAAGTATCATAAGTAAAATTAAAAAAATTAAATATCAAACACCGGCCACTCTTAAACAAATTTCTTACAATTATAGGTTTTGTTAAACACATTACAATATTTTTTGATATGTTTATAAAATTTTGCTATCCAAAGCAAATTAACAAATTTTTACAGTCAATTAATAATCTTTAATCTTTCAAATCAAGTGTTTATGGCTAATTTTTAGTGAGCAATTTAAATACAATTTAGGGATATTTGATTGGTCCACTAAAATAAAAAATATTGATAAATCAATTAAAAGATAATAAAATTAAAAAAACCTTAATGAGTAGATATTGAAGATTTCGTAAAATATTTAATAGAGAGAAATTAAAAAATCTGAGAGATTTTTAGACTTATTTCAACTAACATGGAATTCTCTAGACATGCTCATATAAAAGGAATCTTAAAAAAATAAAAAAATGAAATTTTAGATGCGGAAACAGGATGATAGTAGATTGCAAAATAATATGAATATGAGACTTTAAAATTATAAAATCTCCCATTTTTAAAAACCCCTCATGAATTTGTTTAATATTAAAAATTATTTGCTACCATGTGTCATAAATGAACCTTATAACATTTAATAAGAAATTAAATGTTATAAAAAGTTTTAACAAAACAATTAAAAGAATCTTTAGTTCAAATCTTAAAGCTGAAATTTTTACATTTAGAAGAATAAAAAATCATTTTAAGCTATTTTAATTAAATTTTGTGATTCTTCATTACTCTCTTCTTCCATTTTAATAGATATTTACAGTTTATTTATCCAAGTATCTTTAATTGCTTAGGGATTATGTTTTATGATGGTTTCAGAACCAGCCAATCCACATAATCTTGATATTGAAACCCCAGGCGATTCTTGGATATTATTAGAAATAATTAGAATTCAAGTATTTACAAGGAAATAACATTAGGTTGAGTTTCAATGCATCAAAAGATATAGATAGCAGAAATAGATTGCCAAGAAATAAAAGCCAAGTCTTTAAATGATGTAAAAATAAGAGCAAAAGATTCAAAAAGTTTATAGAAGATTATGTCTTATTTTTCAGTAATTTTATCTGTTAAATGGACAGGCTTTTACAAATTTGAGAATTGAATTTGTGTCATTTTATGGTCAATCATTCTAAAAATTCTATATCTTCAGATAACATTCAAATACATATTAAAAAAATGAAAAGAATTGCATAGTTTAAAAGAATTTAATCTTAAAAAGTATTGCATGAACACCTGGCATTCGACTATTTATAAGATGTTCTAAAAAATAGTTCAATTATCTTACCTTTATTTATTTGATAATTCTTTAGTTCTCTTTGTTCCTTCCTTATTTTTCTTTTCAATTAAAATTCAAGAGGTAAAAATATTGCTTAAATAAATATTTACTCAAAAATATAAAAGAATAACTTACAACTATATTTAGAATTACACACATACTTTATAAATCAAAATCTACATTGTAAGTAAAAAATCAAATTTTATTCTTAGTTGAAATTACATTATTAAGTTTTTTTAATTTATTTTGCTTTAATAAAAAAATTTAATAATATTTTTTATTTTAATAAACCAATCAAACATTTCTTAATTTAATTCAAATTAACCTCATAAAAATTGACCATGTAATTTTTTTTATTTATCACTATGAATAAATTTTAGTAATTGTAAAATTAAACCAAATACTTTAATTTAAATATAATAAAATAATTATAAATTCTAGTATAGCAAAGTAAAAAACCTAAAAAATATGTGTAATTCGTTTAAAAAAATTACTAAAAACCATTTTAATATTTTAAAATCTTTATTCATTCATAGAATCAAAATAATAGCAAAGTTGGCATAAAATTATTTTTTAAATTAAGGCAATTATTAATTTTAATGTTAAAAAGATTAAACTTAATCTAACTAAATATTACTAACGCATACTCTGTTTATGAGGTGTCGTAGCCGAGCGGTTAAGGCGATCGGCTTAAGACGATTTCTTGAGGGAGCGTGGGTTCGAGTCCCACCGACACCATTTTTAATAAATTAATTTTTTTATTTTACCCTTAATGTCTGAACAGCTACAAAATCCATTTGTCATTCAATGCATAAACTGTAATGAAATTCTTGGAGATTCTTTTTTATCTCTTAGATTTACAAAAATGATTGGTTATTTTTCTCTTCGTTACACAACTCAATCATCGTTTCAGAAGAAAGTAAAGAATCCTTAGAAGAATTTGATTATAAATGTAATTTTAATGATTTGGTTTGTAAGTGTACCACTGTTGTAGGTAAGAAATATGTCACAGTTAATAAGAATTTAAGTGAATTTGTTAATAAGTTTGGTATTTTTAGAAGTAAAATTATTTCTTACCAGTTAGGTAATTCTTCTGTAAAAGAGCCAGTCTTTCTTTTTTGCTGAAGAAATAAGTAAATTAGAAAAGTTTTGTGTTTATTTGCTATTATAAAATGGAAAAGAAATAAGAAATAAATTTTTTTTTTTATTTTTTTAAAATATTTTATTTTATTTGTTTAATTGACATTTATTTATGAATTTATAAATTCAATCCATTCATTCATTTCTTCCAAACTATTCACTCCCAAAGTAATAAAAGCATTTTCTAAATATAATTTAAATACTAAATTATTTACATTTTCTAAATTAATTTCTTTTTTACTAAACATTTTATAAATCTCATTTTTTCTGTAAAGAATGAATTTATCATTCACTTTTGATTAATTTTACTTTACTCCACTCCTTTTTATCATACATCAATAAAAAATCATTTTTTAAAGAATAATTGTCTATTAAATCAGTAAGAATGAATGATTGTAAACTGGGAATATCTTTCATAAGCTTGGAATTTAAATTTATTTCTATTATTTCTTTATTGATTTTATTTCTTGTAAGGATCATAAGCTAAAAGCTTCATTTGGTTTGATAAATTTTCTAATTAAATCACAAAATTTTTTCTAATTAACCAATCATTTGCTTTTATAATTAAAAAAAGTGCTATCCAATGAATATTCAATATGTAACATTTTTAGTTTAGAAAATCTTTTAATACTTTTCCTGGTGAATATAAATTTACTGTAGAAGTAGAAAGAGTACTTAAAGTTATTTCTTCGTATTTGTCTAAGTTTTTATAATTAAAGGATCTTCTTTCATTCCAATGTTATTCTCAAAATTCTCTTTTTTATTTGATTCTTTGAGTGCACTGAAATATTTTCTGTGCTTTTCATTAAGGACTTCTTTCTCTTCATGTTCTTTTGTTTCTTTAATTTCATGCGTGGTTTCTTTTGTTTGAATTTCTTTAACTTCATGCATCTTTTTTCATTTGTTTCTTCTTTTCTCTTCATTTTTATTAAAAAAAGTTTTGTTTAATATTTTTAAAACACTCTTCAGTGTTCAAAGTGTATTTTTTAAAATTATTGTTAAAAACAACTCTTTGACTTTGGTGAGTAAGAAAATAAAGGAGAGTTAGAGAAATTGGCTCAGTCACTAAAATTGTGTTTTTCCTTTTATTTTCTGTTTGAGGAGTAAAACTAAAATTATTTTTTGGGCAAACTGTCTCTTTTACTTCAGGGGTATTGGTAACTCTTACAGCGGTGTACTTCTTAATTACTGGTATTTCTTTTTTATCTCATTTTTCTCATTTCTCTGGCTTTAATGCAGATTTTTTAGGAATGTCACCAGCCTTAATTTCTATGACATATTCTTTATCATCTTTCTTTCTGATTCCTCTAATCCCTTGTTTATTCTGGTTAACTCATCCAATCCTAAAACGTGATAAGTACTTGTTTTTGAGGAAAATCTTTCTGGTTTCTCCTTTTTTTTTTTGGTTGGTTTATGCTGTTTTTTTTTTTGTTCATTTCTTTGACAAAATTCTCTGAAAAATTTGACAAAACTTTGTCAAATTCTTTAATTTTGTCAAAGTCTTTTTCATGCACTTTTTCAGATTTAGGCTTTGTTTGTAATTTAAAAGAAGAAAAATTGCTTATTTTATCAAAATTATAACTTGTTTTCTCTGTTTTATGGCTAATGTTCTGCATTATCACTTGTTACCTCTGTTTTATCACCCATCTGTGATCTCTTTTCATTTGAAGAAACCTTACTTCCAAACCTATCACTCTTTAATCTGTTCAACTCATTACTAAAGGAAGTATCATTAGTGTTAGACTCATCAGTTCCCAGAATCTTTTTTTTCTGTCATATTCGCTTGTAATTGAATTGTTTCTTGTCATAAGGGTGTTTGTTTTTTTATTATTTTTAATTAAATTGTTTATTTAAAATATTATTTTAATTTATTTTTTTATTGATTGGAATGTTCTTTTAAATTTGTTTGCTTAAAAATTTAAAAAATTTTAGTTTAAACACAAAGTAAAGCTTTAAAAGGAAATGACTGTTTATAGAATATTAAATCATAAAAAATTTTTAATTTGTTATTTCTATTTTCGTAAATTAATTATTATTTATTAAAATTTAAGAAATGTAAAAAATTTTAGTAATTTGTACTCGGTTTACACCTAAAAAAGAATTATTACATACTTTTATTTCCTTGCTAAACTGTTTTTTATGACTGAAACATTTTTATTGAGTAAAATTATTTATTTTTTACTTGACTAGGCAATAGGAAAATATTATAAAAAAGAAGCAAGAAATATCTTTTTTTATTTTATTTGATTATTTTTCTTTCAAAGTGAATATTGTTAACGGTTTTAGTGATTTTTTATCACATTTTCTTGATTATTTTTAATAAGAATCGTTTTTTAAAAATTGTCCATGATAACAATTTAAATAAATCTTCATGAAAAATACTTTTACCACAGAAGAAAAAATATAAAATATTTATAAATTAACCTGATAGAATATTTTATTTAATTCTTCAGTTATTGTTACATAAACATTATATATTAAAACTTAAGAGTTTTACTTGATTTATTTGTAACATAATTTTCAGAAAAGATATAAATATTTTTTTGTTTTATGATATGATTTTAAATTTTAGTACTGCATTTAATTTAAAAAATATACAATTTTTTTTTTGTAGATTAGATAATATGTTTATATCAAATTTTAATTGCTTTCTCAGTTGATTAGTTTTTATTCAAAATATATTTGTATTAATATTCTTTTATTAGCTAAAAACATTTTTATTAATATATGTTATTAACCAATCTTTTTTCTATATTCTGTATTTAGTAAATCATATCTTTTTAGCAATACACACATCTTTTTCCTTTCTTTTGAATGTTTAATAGCCTCGAATCTTATGTTTGTCAAAATACTCTGGTATGTCATTTAATATCATAAATAAATTTGTTGATCTTATAAGCAAATATTTGAAGATGCACTCTTTATTTCTGCTCTCACTTAAATCTCAGATATAAATTCAAATGTAATTCTAATTTGAGATCTAAAAAACAATTATCCGATATTTTGGTATGTTTTTTTGTGTAAAGAGCTCATATTCTTTTCACATACAAGTTTTTGTAATAAATTAAACCTTACAGTCAGCAATGTTATATAAAAAATGCTGGAACTTAAGATTTGTTGATTTTAGGCTTTCATTACAAGTATTTTCGATTATAAGCCTAATATCTGGACATTAGCGATTAAGTTTTTTAAATTTAAAAGTTTTTGCTCTAGTCTAAGAAGTATTTTGTAAGTGAAATGTTTGTTAATTATCTTTTTTTTTCTGAGGTATCAAATATTTTTTAAATAATATCTATACATTTGTATCTGGTAATTTTTTTTATTATGTATGACACAAGAACAAAGATAACTTTGAAACATTTTATAGGATTTGTTAATTCTGTAAATTTGCTTTAACTTATTGTATAGTACAGTACTTTATGTTCAATCCTAAGGTTGATGATTCTTTTGAATCAAATTTGTAAAACAAGATTAACAAACAGAATTTTGCTTTTAATATTGAGAGTATTTTGACAATATTCAGATCCTAGATTTTTAAAATGATGTTTTTGCGATATAAATTTTTTATGTAGAAACTAGCCTGAAAGTTTATTTTTTGGTTTATTTTCATAAATTCTATAAGAAAAAATTCAAATATACATTCTAATTTTGGTTTAGATTCTATTAATAAATTAGGTTGTGATCTTATAGTAAAAAAGATCAAGCAATTTTGTGTTTTTTGTAAAAATTAATTCTCTATAGCAGTCTTATGACTCTTCTGAGCTATTTTGATCAAAAAATAGTAAGAATTTTATTCTCAGGAACCTCTATATTGATAATACAAACCAATTTGAAAAAGAATAATAAATTTATCATTTGGTATTATTTTTAAGAATAAAAAAACTTCTTTATTATTTTCAAAAAAAATTTATGGTTATTTTATGATAATTAACTTTTTATATTTTTTGTTAGAAATTTTGAACTTATAATTTTTTGTGCCAAGAAAAAATATTAATATGTTTTGTTTTTTATAACAATGTTAAAGTTGCTATTTATCAGTAGTTTGCACTAAAAAGAATGAAAAATTAATTTTAATAAAACATTTACGAAAACAAGATTTGACATATTTTAATATTAAATCTATAAAAATTTTGAAAAAGAATCTTTGATAAAAATTTATTATTTTTTTTTTTTAATATTTTAACACCTTTCTCAAAACTCTTAGATGCATAACTCAAAGTACATTTATCAATAAAAGAAGTAAATCATAATCTCATAAAAAGAATATCGAATGGTAGATTAATAAACCTTTCTCAGCTAAAAAATTAAAAATCCTTTGTTGATAGTAGTAAATCTTTGAAAAAGACGTTTAAAGTATGTTTTATAAAAAATGTATGTATTTCATAATTTTATTCTATTGTGAATCAGTATTACAAATCTAAACTAGCAGCTTTACTTATTCCTAAAATAAATTTTATTTATAAGATAGATAAAGTTAAAAAATATTTGATTAAAATATTATGTTTGATCTAAAAATTTTGGAATTTTTTTAAAATCATATTTTTCAAAGTTGTTACAATGTTATTTTTAGTAAATAAACATGCGATAAAAATAATTTA